AAAAAAAAAAAAAAAAAAAAAAAAAACTGGAATGTAATTGAAAAAGAAATTTGTTGTTCAAGATCAAAACACAAATTATTATAGACTAAAAATGAGAAAGAAATATGTGAACGTAAACATAGTTTAAGCTAGCCTAGCATACTACTACAAATATTGATGTATGATTGTGTAGCCTAATAGAGTAGGCAACGGTGGCAACGGTGACGGTCACATGACTATGACAATGATGAATTAACTATAATCTAAGCAATAAAATACAACTGAAGTTAACTGTAGCCTATACAAAAGGCGACGAGGAATGTCAGTGGTCCATTTATTGTGGGCATGTCTACTGAAAAGGGTCAGAAATTGGTGTGGTTGGGAAGAAAAGAATAATGCTGGGGAGATTAGGTTACATGTGAAGATCATAAATGGAGGTGGGCCATAACGAATTAGAAGACATTGTGCGAATTTTTGTCTAATCTTTTGATCGAAGGATAAGAGAGAGTGTATAAACATAGCCCATGATTCTTTCATGAGTTTGTTTGACATGATGTTAAACATTCGGAAATAATCAAATGCAATTGGTATAAGTGTTTGACATGCTGAAAGTCCAAAAAGTTCAGAATCTTTAGGCTTTGGTTTGGATGAGAACGGTTGTGCTCAAATTTTGGAGAAGGGAACGTGTTTGATATTGATCTTCAGACAACAATGAAAAAGAGTTCATTTGAAAGGAGGTTTGAAGGAGCTTAGTGAAACTTACCTCGCTAAGATGAAGTTGGGTTTCCTGCGTGGATGGAATGTTGGATAGACGACCGGAATTGGCCGGACAAGAAAGAAAAGAGGCGCAACCAAAGAGGACGGTCGACCGTGGGCTGTTTGGGCTTTGGACCCAATCTTCCATTCACATGTTTAATGAGATGTGGATGTTCACACCTGCTGATGAGATTATAGTTTAAGATTCTTTTCTAAAGAGTAATTGGGATTGGTGCCTAGACGGCAGACAAAAAAATCATCTCTAAAGGAAGTGTCCTGGTACAAGAGCTAAAACTGACCTCAATCACTGTGCTTCCAGAAACTGAGAAATCCATTAAGACCACTGAGAGAGAAAAAAAAAAAAAATTGTTAAAACTTTCATCAACACAGAGATGAGAGAGAGGCAGAGGTATTCACAGTTCTATATCCATAAGAGAAGACGATGAAGAAAGAGATTGAAAAAAGATGTAAGCTAAGCAGAATCTTGAATGTTCTTTAACGTCTTTACATTTTCAAATTGCATGGCATTTTGTGAACCAAACTTTTCACCATTTGAAGTCGACATCTGTTCATCTGAACAAATAATTTGTTGCTCACATACCTACAAAAAACAATACATAGAAAAGCACCAACTCTTGTAGTTTGCTGCACATAGCTGGTTTTTTTGCAGAAGACAAAATACTTCCATCTTTTCTTTCTTTGGGAAACAGACTCAAGATAATCATTGAAGGCAACAGAAGGATGAAAATCATGAAACTTTACCAGACAATGAAACTTCTCGTCACCGATGTGCAGCTGCGTATTCATCATTTCACTTTTCCTTTTCTACTGCATCACCGTTTAGTTGGGTAAAAATAAAGTGGAAATCAGCTGCTCTTTCACACACAAGTCAAAAACCAAGTAGTTCCCTAAACAATCTTACTAAATGCTACACTTCAAATCATCAATGTAACTAATCTAACTAGGATTTTCAAACCTGGTTCTTTTTTTATTTTTGGTTCAACGGGAGGAAAGTGTGGAAAATTTTGAACCTTTAACCTTGAAGACACATGTGCCTTAATTATTGAGCTATGCTTCCTCGTGCTATATTTCTTTACATAATTCAATATCTAAAAAAGTGTAAATGAATAGGTTGCAATTATAATGGATATCATTCCGTAGACAAACAAATCTAAAGGGTGAGCATGGAATCTATCAAAATAAAGTCATTTATGAACCATTAGATTAAAACAGAACAAAAATATAAAACAGGACTCTCGAAAAGGATCATATAATTTAATGATTACACGATTGGAATTTTGTTGATTTAAATTTTCTGTGTAGGATTAAAAGTCTACAACCTCATTTGTATCCTTCTTTAAGAAATCACATGTAACTTGGCTCTTACACTTTTTGAAGTTGATATTTCTATAATCCATCAATGAAAAAGCAGCCAACTGTTCTATAGAAAAGGAAGAGCTACTTTATTGGTTATAATAAAGTTCTGTGGGATTTGTCAATAACAAAAATCCACAAGATTATCACCTACAATATTCTTCACAAACTAAGGATGTCGACATTGATATAATCTTCACGAAGACCTTGAATAAATTAATCAGCCACTCATAAATGTCGTTCCTAGCTTTCTTTATATATGTATACATATATATATTTGGTCTCATAGCACTTGTTTTTGGAGTTATTGGGCATGTAAATGACTTCCCCTCACGTTATAGCCTTGACTGGTGGCACACATTTTGCCCTAATCAACAAGCTAGGAAGGGCCCATTTCAACTGCAGGTCCCTTCTGAATAGCAAGGTATGAAATCTTGGTCGTACTACTGTTCCAAAAGCTTATAAAATGATGTTCTCTAAATGGACGAACTTCTATATAAATATTGTTCAATATAACAATACTTTTTGTACATCCTCTTGTACAAAAGACGAGCAATGTGACTGGTCTAAACCTACAAAAAGCTTCACAAAGTGAGTTTTTGGTTACATCAATCCCTTACTTCACTTATTCGGGTGTCATGTCTCTTGCAACTCACTATTCCTATCTCTTTTAGGCTTTGAGAGCATATATCCAATGCAACCCAAAGGTCATTTTCTCAATCAGGCTGCCTCCCACCTCTGTACCCAGGAAACCCCAACCAATTCATCAACAACCAACTGGTCACAATGATGGATGTCAATAACACAAACTTTAAGTCATCCATATGTCCGCAAATATGAAACAACAAACTCAACATTTGGCTCAAGGAATTTGAACCTCTATCCCCACTAGATCTTACCAATTAAACTATACTCATGTTGATAAATAAGATATCAATTTCACCTCATAGTCTATTTATACTACACATATAGCATTGGGCAACCATAGGTGATGAATGCCAAGTCTGAGACTAGTAAACATTCGTAATAACTAACAGTTCAAACCATTATCCTCATGTGAAGCCTATTTGTCAAGGTGTATCAAATGAAAAACATCTGCAAAGTAAATGGAGGATTCAATGGCTAAAGAGAAGGGGGGAAAAACACATTTTCCTCACTAAAATAACGGAAAGGGAGAAACACTAATATCTGAATTTGCAGAACCAACTCACTCCTATTAAGAAATATCACATCAGGAAGGATCGTGATGAATAATTATCATCTCAGTATAGTAAGGAGATTAGGAGCAATTTTCAAGGTTAATTCACTAAAGTAGTAGAAACATGTGGAATGTCAAGCAACTCCCTCCAAAAGGTTATGAAATGATAGGTCCCCCATCAATGGACAAAAACTAGAAAAAATGCTGGATTAATATCCAAAACATACACACATATATCCGCATTTTAAAGAAGTTGACGTACAAAGTTCTTTCAGAAATTTCAAATCACCTTAAGAGAAATCTTATTGCCGTAGCTTTTGCGAACCTATCTAAGTTTACGTGAGTTGCTTGTTACTCCTTTCCATGAAAATTGAGAGCATGCTACTTTGCTGGACAAAGCTTCCAGAGATGCAATCCAGCGTCTATAAACATTTTGAGTAGCAGATAGCTTATGAAGTACAACTTCAACTCAAACATTCCGGTGTTTGCAATTGTTAGTTCTTGGCCACATGGAAAATGTAAATACGTTGAAAACACCAGCAAAAAGATGAAGGAATTCTAGAGTGCTGACTTCAACTTGCAGATCCTTGGAAGGAAAGAGGAAAACTATAGAAAACTTCGGAATCATTTCAATTTGCACTGATGCTTCTTTTAAAGGATAAACTAGTTCGTAGAGATGAAGAATAAAAACCACAATTGAGGAAATCAACAGAGCTGAAGGCCATGCAAGAGAAATAGAGAGGATGCAAGGAAGTCAGAAATGTACAGATAGCAAGGGCATTAGCCCTTAAATCGTTTTGCAAAAACAAACATGTTGGCGTACATTAGATGACGTTGTGAACAAGCATGAGTTCTTTAGGCAGTTAAAGAGAAATTTTACTATCAATATATATATTAAACAAAAAAAAGTGTCTTCTTTTATTTACTGAATTCTGTCTAAATAAGAAATGATCAATCTATTCGATAATTGTTTTATACAAATCACATAGACACACGCAAAGAAGAAATAAAAACAAGCGCACAGTACAAATGGTGGCAACAGATTAGATATTGCGGCTACGCACATCTGCTCATCGCTCGAAGAGGAGATGAGGAAATTATGAGGTACGGAGCATGCTGATGAAGGTTGATGCAAGCTGAAACAATTTCATAACTTCAAAACACCCCGTACAACTCACCCCATCCTAGTTGTACGTTAGAACCTAATCGGACAACATTCAGATAACTGTTACCAAATTAAACAGAGATCTTAAAGCCCAAACGACCTGCTCAACACTAAAAGGAACGTCTTAAGATAAGCATTCCTGGTGAATTAGCCAAAATCAAGCAAGTCTCTCTACCATGCTCTGTTACCAGTAGCAGAACAGCAGACGTATAATATCCTGATAAAAGAGTGATCAAAATCAAGAGTATTCTCATATTCCAAGTGCACTTTCATATCGAGAAGTATGGTTCCAACTGTGCTGAAGTAGTATTAAGCTAATACAATCAAGTTCACACTTTTTTTAACAAGAAACGCTATTTGTGAAATAGAATGGAACATATGAAAGGAGATTGCGGAAACATTATCCAATAAACGCCAATAAAAACAGAAAGAACCAGACATCACCCTTCTTTCTTACTTTGCCTATGCATAGAGCACCAGTTTAGGGGACGCTCGTGGGCATTTCTCTTTTGCATAGAATGATTAGTTTTAATGCCTCCCAGTATCAGGGACCAAATGCAATGCGCACTTTAATATTGGATGGAATGACATCCTGGACGAGAATGAAGGGAAGACAGGCTAAATAGCCAACCAGCTGCAATAGATGAGAGCAGAAAAGTAAACTTGTTCTTCCAACACAGTGCCTCATAATGCTAGAGAATTTCTCCCATAATAGTAGCCACCACTATTATGATTTTTCCCTCATAAATGGTGCCTCATAATACTTGAGATCTTACTCATAATAACGGCTCCTACCCTCAAGTAAGCGAGCGGAGTTTTCCATAACCATGTCACATGAAGCATTGGCAACTCAAGGACAGAATGGAATCTCTTTTGGATAGCACCATTAGTTTTACTACCTCCCAGGTCTAGGAGGTTCTGGTGAAGGCTGGGGTATATTTCGTTTTGTGCTCGATTGAGGTCATTGATATGAATTGTCAGAAAACTGAAGTTTCCTTTTCAGGTTGTCTCAGTCCTGCATGTGCTGTTTTAGAATCTTATTTAAGAGGCTTATTCTAGTTTGAAGGAAGTGAAGGCTACATACCAGTTTGGATAGTTTTGTGGATGGTTAGGTTCAAAGAATCTATGAAGAAAAGTATCTTCCTTAGGTTGTTCAGTTTGATTCTGCAAAACTTCAAGTCTTATCTTGGTGTTGTCTCAAAAACCTTTGTTGATTTATCGTACTTCGATTTATGTCTTATTTGGAATGCTTTTGCTTCCTTAGGATAGGGAGTGATACCAACTTAAGGTAATAGGTAGTATTCATGTCTGGGGGGAGAATATCCACATTTTTAGAAGAGAGAATAATACAAATCAAGAGAAGTAGCCTCACAGACTTTAGGACAATTTTGTCACTTAAACGTCACATCGTGTCATAAAATTGATAGGTCATATTGGAAGATATACAAACTGCGCCAAGAAAGTGCCAAGTATCTTCCCCACTGCTAGGTGAAGCAAAGTATTCCATATCTTTATTGAAGCAGCCTTCATCAGAACCTCGAAGACCATTATTTCAAGGTTTGATCCAGTGGTCTTTCCTCTCCATTTCGTTTACTTGATAAAAAATGTCGTAAGGTCTTCCCTCTCTTTTTATTTCTTATGTCCTCTTCTTCTTCTATCCTCTTTTCCAAATCCCAGATATCCGATCAGTGTGCAACCTAGTAAGTGACCGTTCTTATGTGCAGTCGGCCTTGCTAGCTTACAACTACCTCTTTTCTAACTTGTTTCCAGGAGTTGAATCGAACCACCATCAGAAATTGATGAAATAGGAAACAGAAAATTTAGGAAAATGGGTTCTCCACCTGTATACCAAATTTGTTCTCATATTCCAACTATAGAGATCAGAGGGGGAATATTCAGTAGGATCCTCCACCCATCATCAATTGCTTCTGATTTCCTACTACGTTTGTATTCCTCAATAGCTTCCGCTTTTTATATGTAACCCATTGATTCCCTAGGATTTTACCCCCTATTGATTCCCAACATTTGTTGATATAGCACCCTATGCTTCTGATTTCCCATGTAAGAAATCAGAAATCTGTTAGTCTAGAAT